AGGAATACCAGAAAAAATAATAAATCTCATCAAGAACTCTACAGTGACACAGAAAGCAAAATCCTACACAACGGCATAACATCTGACCCAATAGCTATGCTAAACGGAGTAAAGTAGGGCTGTGTTTTAACCCCATACTATTTAACATTGTACTGGACTCCGTACTAACAAAGGTAAACTCTAATAGAGGAATTTACTGGGGATTAACAAACAGACTGGAAGACCTAGATTACGCTGATGATATATGCCCCCTAGCACATACAAAACAGGACATGCAACTCCAAGTAAACAAAGTACAAGAAGAATCAAAGAAGGTTGGTCTAGAAATAAACATCAACAAAACCAAAGAAATGCGATTTGGTACCAGAAACAACCAACCTATTATGATCAACAACCAGAAAATTGAGAGAGTAGCGGAATTTGTATATCTGGGCAGCATAATTGACTGTAATGGGGGTACAGAGCGTGATGTACATGAAAGAATAAATAAGGCTCGCAACGCCTACAACATGCTTAACAACATATGGAAATCCAGGATTTACCCAACTAAAACGAAACTAAAAATCTTCAACACAAATGTAAAAGCTGTATTTACTGTATGGCTGCAAAACGTGGAAGATATCAGCACCCATAGTACACCAATTACAAGTTTTCATCAATAGAGCGTTACGAAAAATCCTTCGTATATTTTGGCCTAACCGAATCTTCAATGAAAATTTATGGAACCAAAGCAACCAAGAAAATGTCATAAAGCAAATAAGGCGAAGAAAATGGAGATGGCTGGGCCACACACTCCGTAGACCGCCAAATGACATTGCCAGGACAGCGCTGGATTGGAGTCCCCAAGGCCGACGGAAAGTAGGCAGACCTAAGGGAACTTGGAGAAGGACAGTACTGGTCGAAGGGAGAAAAATGGGAAAATCCTGGCTTGAAATCAAAGCACTAGCCAGAAATAGAGTTCGCTGGAGACACTTTGTGGAAGCCCTATGTTCCTCTTAGGAATCTTGGGACTATATATATATATATATATATATATATATATATATATATATATATATATATATATATTTGTATTTTGCCGCTAAAGAAACTCAGTTTTTCTAAAGCTGTTAAATAAATAAACTTGCGCGATTTTTGCCCTTTCTTATGATTTTCATGAGATCAATACAATTTACCCTCTTAATTGACCGGTCATCAAAAGATTTCGAATACTAGAGATAAATCTTCAAAACCTATAGCATGAAATTTTAGTTTTGAGTTTTGGCAACAAATATGAGGCTTTTGAAATATGCTTAAAAACGCTGAACCTAAACTTTTACATTACAAACGATCTAAAACGTTAAAAACTGCTCTCTTTTAATTACACTAGTACGTTTTTTAAAAGTACCCAACTTCTTCTACAAACTAAACCCAAAATCGTCTTCTTGGATGTGCATTTCCTGTGACGTGCGATCGTTTTTAATGTAAAAATTTAAATTCTTCACTTTTTAGTCATATTTTAAATTCCTCATATTTGTTGCCACAACTCAACATTGAAATTTAATGTTATACGTTTTGAAGATTGGTCTCTAAAAATAAAAATTTCACTACGACTGGTCAATGAAAGTGATAAATTTTATTGATCTCACGAGAATCGTAAAAAATTGTAAAAATCGCGCAATATTTATTTCATCATCATCATTCTCTGTATACAGGGGAGAGGGTTTCCCTGGCGCAGCCCGTTATTTGTTTTAAAAGGTTCAGACTTAAGTTTGTTAAATTTACCAACTGATTTGGTATTCCTAGCTTTTTCATTACTTTGCATATTTTCCTTCTATTCACAGAGTTGTAGGCTGCTTCGTAGTCTATAAATATATGATCTATGCCATAAGTATCTATGCCATTTTCCAGTATTTTTTCTAAAATTTGTTGCAGTTCTGCATATGAAGCCATAGTGCCGTAGTACCGTGGAAAATATTTTAGAAGCGTAATTCCTCTGTGGTTAGAGCATTAAAAGATATCTCTTTTTTTGTGTATGGTGCATAGTTTTTTAAATGCATCTTTAACTTAAAGAATTCTTCCTCTTCCTTCTTGTGTGTTACTTTTACTTCATCTCTTTCGTCTTCCAGGTTTTCTTCTTCTTTCTCATATTAATCGCCTGGTTAAAGTATTCCACCCATCTATTCAATACATAATAGGTCGCCATTATGACTTCTGCATTGACTTGTGGTTTCTGTCCTATTGATGTTAACTTTATTATAGAATGCTCAAAATTCTTTCTCTCTGTTGATGTTTTCTATATATTCAAGTTACTTATTTGTTTTTCTTTGTGTATCCTCTTTTCTTCTCTTCTCTTTGTCTGGTAATTCTCTACAGTTGTTCTAGTTCGCCAGGTAAGCATCTTTGTGTTGGCTTCATTTTTTCTTTTGTTACATTCTTGCATCATCTGTGGCAACAAATATCAGGAATTTGAAATGTGACTAAAAAACGAAGAATTAAAATTTTTTACATTACACACTATCGCACGTCACAAGAAATGCTTCCAAGAAGGCGGTTTTGAGTGTAGTTTGTAGCAGAAGTTATGTAGTTTGGTTAAGTACTTGAAAAACGTTTTAGTGTAATTGAAAGAGAGCAGTTTTTAACGTTTTAGATCGTTTGTAATGTGAAAGCTTATAATTTCGTGCAATAGGTTTTGAATATTAGGCTCTAGTATTCGAAACTTCATGGTGACCGGTCAATGAAAAGGATAAATTGTATTGACGTTTTAAAAATATCGAATTTTTACCGTCGAGTTAATACAAATTTTATTTAACATTGATTTTTTGCTCGCAAATGACATTCAAAATGACCAGTGGCTTCAAGCGTTGTTTCTGAGAACGGTTCATTCTACACAAAAGTGCTAATAAACATTTTTGTTCAAAATTATGTACTTTTATTTTTGATTTGATTTTTTTCGTTCTTATCCTTCTACGAGAGAGGTTTTCCCAGGGGGGCGCCTGGTGATAAATGTGGTTAACTTTTATGTATCTTTTTTAGGTCCCAAAATTGATATTCTCGGCAAAATTCAGCTTGTTTGTATGATTTTTAGGGGTCAAATCTCTGACGACTGGACTATTCTATCTGTTTATATATCAAAAGTAACCGTAATTTTGCAGAAAGATTTTGCATTGTAAAAACATTTTTTTTTTTACTTTTATTGATACATTATGCTAGTTTATCTCTTAGAGTTTCAGTTCGTTTGTGTAGAATTACAGTATCTTCATGATTTTCTGACTAATGTTGTTACAAAGAAAAAGATCTCTGGGATAAACAGATAGAATAACTTTTAAACTAATTCATGTATAGATCTGAAATTTTGATAATTTGTTAAGGACCACAATACACAACTTTGCGTACAATACCATATATTTAGGTTGATTATTTAATAATGATTAATTTTGTCTCATTTTGCAGTTTTCGAAGCAACAAATTAATTTTGTAACTAAATATTAAGCTTTTGAATGGTAAGTAAAACATAGTTTTAGAACCAGATCAAGTAACGAAGTTATAACATAACCATTAAAATGTAACAAAAGATATTAGACCAGAGAAATTAGCAATTAAAAAGCCTTTTTCGTGACACTGATACAGCTATCTAATAAGTGCTTTTGATAAATTTAGTTATAGCGCTATATATTAAACCAAACATGCAAAACATTATTGTTACTTACAAACTATATATAAACAATGTAAAATCGCTATTTGATTTTAAATAATAAAGATGAAGACCGATAATCGAAAAATGACACAACTTTACTGAAAAAGTATAGAAAATCCTTTATAAGAGTTTATAAAGGTATTTTTGTTAATTTGTTGCTTAATTATAGCAAAAAATAGCTTCAAAAGTTTTTTTTTGAAAATTAATAATAATAAAAAAACTTGTAGAACATCACAAGTATTTAGCTACAAAAATTTTAAGAGGTTTCACTTAGCAGTTATTGCAAAATTAAAATTATTTCTCCCGGTAAGCTATGATCTAAAACATTATTTTACGTAAACTATTAGGTCTACAATAATGCTGAAGATACCAAATTGAAGACAAATTTTCTGGAAATTGGTATTAACAAATAACTTATCACAAAAAAACAATTTTCCGAATCGCTTTGAGTAAAACTTTTTTATACTTATCTCATCAAAGTAAATACTTTTCCTTTGTGGTAATTTTTCGAAAAACCCTTGCTTTTCGAGTTATTTGCAATTTTTTGTTGAAAAATTCCTTAATAAATAATTTTTGGGATTTTTTTTAAACTACTAAATGAATTACAATTCTACAAAAAGCTTTATAATCTTTAAACCTTAGCTTATAAGTAAGAATATTTTGACAAGGATAAGTGATTTTTATCTTGCTAAAAACAGTTTTAAATGTATACAAAGATTTCGAAGGGCCGCGCATTTTTATCGCTGCAACCGTACATGCATATTACGAGTATCATAATACAGCCATAGATTGCTCAAAATTTATATTCGTAAAATTTGTTTCCATGTTTTGAGTAAGATAGAATCCATTTATTCTTATCAAAATATTTTTAAACATACTTGTAGATTTAAAGATTAAGTTTTTTACAGAATTGCAATTTATTTAGTAGTTTTTTAGAAAAAAAATCATCAATAAAGGCATTTTTTCAACAAAAATTTGAAAATAACTCTAAAATTAAGCATTTATTGAGACGTTACCAAGAAAGAAAACGTATTTATTACGATGAGATACGCTTAAAAAATTTACTCAAAACGATTCGTAAAATTGTTTTTTTTTTTTTGTTATAAGTTATTTGTTAATAACAATTTCTGGTCGACTTTAAAAAAAAAGTACATTTGAACTTGAAAAAATATATAGAATTGAATAAAAAAAGTATGGTGCGGTATAAATGCAAAAAAAATAGTCGGTTTATTCTCTGCTTATAGGAGTAAACTGCTCGCCTAAAATATGCAACTGATATAACTATGTACGTCATTTTTACCGTTATTTTCTTATCTTAACTTACCATTTACCGTATAAACAGCTGTTATTTTACTGAGATTAACAACCACAAATTTTTACGCGCCAAAAAAACCTTTCCCGTAATGAAATAATATTAATTTTTACGTATTAGCCATTGCTTATTGGGGGTGTTTTCAATGCAAATAAATGTATGCTAGAATAACCGGGAAGTATTCATTGAGAGATGTTTGTTCACTGCAGTGCAGCGCTTTGAAAACCAGGTCGATTTTGTTGACGAAAATAGCTTCTGCGCTTTAACACGTAGGACGGAAGAAGCACGCGTAGCGGACTCCTAGACAGGATGACGGCATGGATTTGATTTATACAGATAATATACAGTAATGATAAATACAGAATTGTAATTCATTTATGAATAGGGTGTAGTTGTTGGAAGCGTACGATTATATGAAATGTATATTGTTCAAGAATAGAGTTGCATAGGTTAGACTTATGTTTATATGGGATTAAACCACAATTATTTGTTGTAACAAAAATTACATTTTTAACTATTATAACTAATGTTTGATGTTGCGATTTCCATTTCGAAAATCGTTTTTGGCATGCTTGACCTTGACCGATTTGGCTACAGATAGAGGTGAAGCATGTCAATTTTGAAATGACATAACCAGTAGCAAATAACTTTGTACGTTTTCCCAGAATTTGTATAATAATTGTTTTTGAAAACGATTTCTGTAGTGGAAATCGAAACGTCAATTAAAGTAAGTCGAATAAGTGTGCTTAATTCCATATAAACACAATACTTTTACTTGAGTGTTTGAAGTTGACTTATTTGACTTGAAAATAAGTCAAACTCAAGTCAATGCTTCTGACAAATAATTCAAGTCAAATCAAATAGGACAATGGATACAGGTTTGAAAATTCAAACTGTTTGTCAAACTAGTTTGAAAGAGTTTGAAAAATAATCTATTTAGTAGATATACCTAAAATATGTATAATATTTATGTTAAATATAGTAAGTAGGTATAACAAATACATTTATTTAAAATAAAACAAAAATTCATTTTTTTATACATTTTTCAATTAATTCCTACTGGTCACATCAAAATCCTTCGTGAAAAGTAAATTAAGTGAAATCAGATAGTAACGTGTTATTACGATCCTTGTGTGAAGCCACGAATTTAAACACATTAGTGTTCTAATAAACTGATCATTTAATTGGTTGTAACTGTCAAAGAAAGCTCTCTAAAAATAGCTCTCACCATTTTTGTTCGAATTCAAAAGGCAGTTTCGTACCGTTTCCACCACTTTATATACTGTCCTCGGTACTGTCAGCTCGTGTTTCAGCTGCGTATTTGTTGATTTCGTATCGCCATGAACTTTCGTTCCTATTTGTTTTTGGAGATGATTGGAAAAGTTTAAACAAGTTTAGATCAAAATTGGAAACTTAGCCAAACACACTGAGTGTACATTTAGTTTGGGTGTGGTGTGAGTGTTTGTCAGTGTAAGGTGAAGGTGAATAATAATTTTATTTATCATTGTCTTCAAATTTATTAATGGCGTCATTTTTTAAGGATTGTCCCCATGCCATTAAGAAATCTTTTCAATTTTATGACCAGGATCCAAAATTAAAATGATACAATACTGGTTAGTCCGACTATAATACTTAACAATTTGATCGCGAACTATCTGAAGAGCAATAATTATTTTTGCATTAAGATCGTCTCTATTTTCTTTATTATCAAATTTAAGCAACCATCGTTCTAGTTTGTCGAGTAGCATATTAGCATACCATAGGAAGGGCAGAATATTTCTCTCCTAAAGTTTAATGTTTTAAAACTCTGTAAATACTTGCATTTTCTTTCAATAACATTCCATTTTGTATCAGATATTTGAAAATGTACAAAGAATATTAATTGAACGTATAATCTGGTTTTTACCTCCAATTTTGACGAGTCAAAATTTTACGAACTTTATTTACTCTTGCGGCTCTCGTGCGCCAGCCACGCTCTGCGCACAATCTAATCCTCTGCACGAGCTAGCCGGACTAGCTGCCGGCAAGCAACGTGCATATATTGTAAAGTTCTATACTCTACGCGTCAGTTAATATATGTCCCGCTCGAAAACTATCGTATATATATATATATATATATATATATATATATATATATATATATATATATATATATATATATTATATATATATATATAGCGGTTTTATAAATTGCTTGGGTCCCGCTGACTCTGCTGGTAACTGCATGTGCAAGGATCCTTATCGGCTCAGGTTGTTGGAAGTGGAAACCTGATACCCTGGGAATCGTCGTGATAAGGAACATTCGTTGGTACAATGCATATAACAACTCCCCTTTTAGATAAAAGTTGATGCGTGGCAACAACTTTTAGACTGTCTGTTTATTGGTATTTAGTTGGATCTGCTCTTCTTCGTCTATGGCGTCGCTTAGGTGGATACTGGGTCTTCATCTTGGAAGGATTTTCCTCAATTCCGGGTGAAGGCTGTCTCTGGGTGTCTTGGTGGAGAGGGCGGATGGTCATTGTCATTGGTATTGCCAATTCCTATTCTGTATCTTCTCTTGGATCTGCATTTACATATAACATAAAGAACAACAAGAGTTACAATGACAACTATGGTAAAAATGGTGAACCAGCTCAGATGTTTGTTGACAAACGGTTCATTGATTAGTTTATCGAGTTCTTCAGAATACTGATTGACTTTGTGATGAGCTATCTCGAGGTCTTTAGTATTGATCTTGCTAAGCTTCAGTGGTTTTAAGTCGGGAAGATGAATTTTATCTGGGAAGTGTTTGCAGCAGTTGAATGGTATTTGGACTGGGTGACTTCTGTAAGTAACATTGTCATGAACGTCGATTAATTTCTGAGAGTGTACTCTTGTACTACCAATACAGGCATCGCACGTGGGTTGTAGTTTGAGTACATGATTTGTGTAAATAATCTTTGATTTGACGTCTCTGTATTCGTATTTGATGGTAATAGGCAGTGGGTCAGAAAGTGTTATGAGCCACAGGTTTATGTTGATCTTCTGGACGTTGTAATCTTTGGCAAATACTACGGAAGTCTGGCATGTTCTGGGAAGGCGTTCTTGTCGTTTCAGAAGTTGGGCTTCGCATTTGGCATCGCTGTCGATTGGGTATGGAAGTGTGTTGTAACAGATCTTGGTTCGAGCTCGCAAAGTTTTGCATGATTCAAGGCTATTTATTGTAAGGTATAACAATGAATCATCGTTTCGCGAAATATATTTATTTGTTGTTGTTAATATTGAATGAAGACCGATTATCCAGTATTGGTATTGGATAGAGACGTAGTATATTGTTCTGCATCAGTTAAAGGAATATTTAAGACAAACACAATTCTTGTGTCTAGTTGATAGGCTTGCAATTCGATAATATCGAGATATTGAGCTACATTTGAAGTATAGATTGATAATGGGAGATTATTTTTTTTGTAATGAATGTGATATATGCCTAAGCGATTCAATTAAATCAAACGGGGTAATGATTGAGCTATGTAATATTTTTAATCGAGCAAAGGTTATGGCATTTACTATTTCATTTAAAGAGTCTTTGATAAATGAATAGCTTTCCATTAGTAATTCACAAAAGTTTAGCATATCGATTTGAGATTGATAGAATTTTAATTGGTCAGAGATATCCATTATTGACTCTCGAATTTCTTTAATATTATTGTTGAATGTTTCCTCGTCTATTTGTAATTTCTGGATTGTGGCGTTAAAGTTTTTAATAACATAAGTTGTAACCGATATTTGATTTTTCAATAAGTTTTCGATTTGATATTCATCGCGGGTTATTTTATTTATACAATCATTGAAATATTCGCCATCTGACGAAGTTGCCGGTAATTGATTTCCATATCGAACCTATTCCGTTAATAAGTCCGCTTTTCTCTCGGAATGTGTATTGTTTCGTATCAGCCACTATTTCTGTATATTTGAGATTAACAGAACTAGAGATTTATTTGAGAAGACTTATGTGAGTTTTGACTTCGGATTTAAATGCCAGCATTCGAGGTACATCTTCAATGGTATCCAATAAATTATCTGACGAAGATTTTGTCGATAACGTCTCTGATTGGTTGCATGTCTTTATATACAAGGAGGGTCCATTTGTCGTTCGAAATTTTGAGATTGATTTCTTCATGAAAAAAGATTCCAACAGTGTTGTTGATTTCAGTTAACGTATACTGGGAGAGGATGACTGGGATCAGTCCGAGGAATCTGAAAGAAAATTACTCATGATAGGGTTTTAATGTATCAAAATTTACTTTCATTGTTCTATTGGTTTGGGTATTGTAGCGTTTACGCTACTGATTAACCCCTTTAGAAATTTTTATTACCCGCCTACGATCGATTTTAAATCGACATTTCTCCACCCACGCGGTTAGCGCTTTGAAAGATTGGTCGAGTTTGTACGAAAACGATCAGTTTTTGTCAGAACTCGAACGCAGCCACCTCAACCGGTGAAATTTTTCACCTTCAAAGTGACGGAATTGGAACAAGGAAAAATAATTTGGGGAAGAATATAATTCATTAATAATAATATAAATAAGTAATTTGTATAATAAATATCAATATTCATTTATAAGAGTTCCACATAAAAGGAAGATTTTTTTGGCGTGCTGCAGTTCCATGTAAGTAAATCATTTCATACGTATTATCTCCTTATCATATAATCAAATTTATCCTTGCAGTTTAGTATTTCTTTAGAGATTTATTTTTGAGTTCCGAAATAATTTAAATATAAAATTTCCTTGATTTACTTGCAAAGAACAGAAGGTCATTTTTTTTATATAGTCAAACTTAAATTCCGATCTATTTCATATCTTATCATTAAGTTTTTTTTTGGTTTTTTTTACCTAACTTTTTTGGTGGAATATAAATGGGTTCTACAAATGTGGGACAGCCTTCTGTATTCTGCGCATGTTTATTTCATGGCGCAAGCTTGCCATGCCTACGAAAGTAACTTCATAAATTTGACATGATGTTGACTTAACCTAATACCTAATGTTTTGATGTTTTGTTTTGGTGCAGTCAATCCATGCTGCTACACCTATTGAATTGTATTTATTAAATTAAATAATAATTTTAGATTCCGTCACGTGAAAATATTAATTTCACTTACTTGAGGATATTCTCTTCAGAATATTCCCTCAACGACTCAAGTAACTAAATTTCTTGAATAGTTAGCAAAACCGTGGATT